TAAAATATTTATTGTCGCCCGCGTGGCGCAGTGATTAGAGCGTCTGCTCTAGAGTCGCGAAGTAAGGAGTTGATCCTTACGTCGCGGGTTCGAATCCCTCTGAGGGACGTGGAGACGGGTCCTTCGGATGAGACCGTATAAACCGAGATCCCGTGTCGCAGTAGGTGCTGGCACGAAAAAGATCCCTCACTGCTCAATGGCCTTAAGTGCCGAGTATAGGACAAAATTTGCAGCTCTCCACCGGCAAGTGGTGGCGTCTCCATATGAGTGAAAAATTCTCGAGAGGGACGTTAAACAACATACAAACAAAACAAAAACAAAAATATAATATTTATTTTGCAGAATTGAAAAAAAAAGTTTATGTGATTAATGTAGTTCAGTATAATGCCCTTTTGTGAGTATATTCTAAATTTCCTATTTCAACATACATCATTGTAAATTTTTAGCTTAAAGATTAAAAAGTGTCCAAACATTCAATAAAATTCTGCACTTATTTGACCTTTGAACTCTATTTCCAGTAGTTAGGTCAGTCGTGAGGTATCTGAATAGCTAAGGAATATCATCTCTGGAAAATTCCCTACAAAATGGTATGCATTATGCCTAGCTTTCCCTTTGGATAAAAAAGTTAAAAATTAATTTATAATGATATGTCAAAAGGTCTCCAAAGTCACTTAAAATACACCGGTAGAGAAAGCGTTAATTTTATTTATGTTTTATTTATATATTTTTCAAAATTTCATTTTGTTTTAATTTTGGTTTCATTTTGTTGATTGTGTGCTCACAATCAAGACTAAATAATATTCATTCATTCGTTTTTTTTTTATTGAATCGTCAATTTTTTGTCAAATTTTATCAATGACAGTAAAGATATTTAAAGTATAAAAAGCAGACAATGATAGAATGTCTTAAATCAGAAGAAATGATTTAGGGTATAAAAATTCTGGAGCTGCAGTTGGTTGTTTTTCATTTCTCAATTCTATAAACAAAATTTCAGTTAAGGTCTAGATACCAATGATGAATGCAGTTTTCTCCGTTTTATATACAAAAAACAAGGTGCTTGTTAAAATGTTTTTTTTACATAAATGAATAAATAATATACTTGAATCTTATTTAATAAACAAAACTGGCGGAGTTCAGATTGTATGCCTAAATATGTCAAGGTTACTCATTCACACTTTAATAAATTGTTTATAGTATGACCAAAATAAATTATGGTAATTGATACTCATTGGTTCGGTAATTATTTATTCTTGACATGTGGTTCAAATTGTGTAATTTTCTAAATAAATATTCTGAAATTAAGTACCATTTCCTGTACTTTTATTCATTCCACTCTGGGGTCGATAATTCATCAGTTACGTAAAAAACAAAATATCATTGGCTGTAAAAACCTCCACTGAATTTAAAAGTAGAAAAATGTTTACAAATTTCTGTTTCCCTGTTTGATCTCTGTTAAAAAAAAATAGCATACAAAGTGTGTTCTTAAGTGTTTATGTTGTATAAATTTATTAAAACTGGAATTTCCTAACAATTTTTCTTGACTGTAAATACTTATTCAATATATGTAATAACAAATAATGAAGTCTGAAAACTCAGATCCTCTAAGGAAATGTTTGATGAAAATATGTATCCATTGTTGTTTTATCGAAAAAATGGAATTCAGTTCATCTTTTAAAGAATATAATTTTTGGCGAAAAGAAAAAATATGTCCCCAATATAGTGCATGGATTAATAATAGCAAGATATACTTCAACAGTTCATATCCAAATTCATTTGTCGAATATGGTGTATCTATACACAAAAATATTTAATACCTTTTCATTTCGTTGATATTTAAACATTGATTGGGAAACCCTCTATCATACCTCCAAATTTCCTCTATCAACATCACTACAATTTTTCTCTCCTTTTCCTTACACTTTTTCTCTATTTCTTATTCCCCCTTATTCTCTCCCTTTATATCTCTCCCATTCTGTCTTGTCTTTTCCCCATTTTTTGCTATATTACAGCTGATATTCCATAAGGATGTATTCTGATGATAATGCTGAGGGACCAGTAGCCTGGTTCCCTGGCTCCTCTTGCCATACACTGCATCGATAGCGTAGAAAAATACAATGCTACAATGAACTTCTACTCCGGCAGCGCAGCTAAATACGACGTCACAATGAACTTCTACTGGAAGCACAGCTAAATACGACGTCACAATGAACTTCTACTGGAAGCACAGCTAAATACGACGTCACAATGGGTTCAGATTCAGGGCAGATTCGCGCTGAATCCATTGTAGTCCACCTGTCCCAAGTGTCGCGGAGTATACGAAGCATAACAGGGACATGGAACCAGACTAAAGGGATCAGCCATTCGTACGGAAATCTCCCGGTTTTATCCATCAAAGTAAGCAAAAATGTCTTGCACATTAACGCCCTTTTTTCTATTCGCATTTTCATTTTTTTGTAGTTTTGATAGTTTTCGCACAAAATATGAAGAAAAAAATTTATTCCAGATCTCAAGTTTTCCCAGAAGAAAAATTCCCATTCAGTGTCAATAATGAAGATTGATTGATTGATTGATTGATTGATTGTTGATTAACGTCTCTCTCGAGATTTTTTCACTCATATTGAGACGCCACCACTTGCCGGTGGAGGGCTACAAATTTTGACCTATGGACGGCACTTGAGCAGTAAGGGATCTTTTACGTGCCAGCACCTACTGCAACACGGGACCTTGGTTTATACAGTCTCATCCGAAGGAGCGATCTCCACGTCCCGCAATGGGATTCGAACCTGCGACGTAAGGATCAACTCCTTACTCCGCGACTCTAGAGCAGACGTTCGAACCACTGCGCCACGCCAATAATGAAGAAAACCAATTAGTTTGTTTTCAGTGCAATGTATCTAAAATAATATGCTCCCTTACTAAGCTAACTCACATTTTTTCGGCCGTTTTTTGTATCAAATAATGAATGTGAAATCATATACGGTACTAATTTTGATGCACCAGATGTGCATTTGGTCAAGTTATGCCTCTTAAGTGATGCTCATGCCGAAACGTTGAAAATCCGAAATATTCCAATACATCGAATTAAAGTACCAAAATTGAAAAGTTTAATCTAAGTTATCTCTGAATAATAATTCCTTATTCTTCTATTCCACCAAGTGCATTCAAGACCCATTAACAAAATAAACCATAAATCTGCTAAAATTAAACGCAAAGGGAGAGTTGCGTATCACAGGGCCGCATCCCTTTCCATACAATTAATATTCATTCCTCTTTTCATCAAATTTACCAATGATCATATCTAATGCTTTTTTCAGTCCTAACATATATCATGTCGTACTTATGTTAGAATTTTTTTCTTTATTATAATTTCATGCTTATCATGAAAGCAATAAAATTTTATTTCTTTATATAAAGATGGTTAATACGGAAGCCGGTTGGCACCAATATTTGAATACTGTTCCATTGCCTACTCTTCTGGTGCAATTTTTATACTTTATTTTCTTTGTGATAAAAAAAAGTAAGATAAATTTATGGATATAAAAAGATTAGTATCATCATAAAATTATTGGACTCAAATACAAATGCAACAAATATTTAAAATTTCTAACTATGAATGTCTGAATACTGACAAAAAAAGAACGTATAAACTTCACGTGCTGATGGCATGGATCTTTTTCCTGTGATAATGCTGATGTTCTATCAAATATTTATGATATGTGAATTGCAAAAAAAAATCGTATCATTTGCAACTGTAATTAATGTATTCATCACAAAATTCACTTCTTCTGAAAAACTTTTACAATTTACTAGTTATTATCGGCCATTTTTACACCGGAGGAAATCATTAAAAAGTGATACAAAATTTAACGTAGATATCAAAAACAGGTTACACGAAGGTGATAAGCTTAAGGTTCAACCAGAACTGCAAAGACAAGGTAATATAACTAATAAATTGTAAAAGTTTTTAAGAAGAAGTGAATTTTGTTTTGAATACATTAATAATTTTAGGCACTGTAATTCATATCCGGAAACTCAATAAGTTTAATATGTTTCTATATCGTATGCACGCCCATCTTGAGGAGCAGTTCATGCAACAACTTTTTTTTTTAAATCATAAATTAATGAATATATGATGAGAAATGAAAACAAATTGAAACCTATTATTTACCATTTAGACAAAGTATAGAGCGAATTTTTTTTCATGACTTTTAGGTTTGTAATCAATAGAGAATTATTTTCATTGAGGCAATGAAAAAATAACGCCCCAATTCCCCCATGTGCACATTCTAACACAACTACAAATAGATCGGTCGCTACTGCGGCCGATAATTATGCATCAAAGAATTTATTTTAAAAAATTGTGTGTAAATTTTATACGGTACCAATTTTGATGCACCAGATGTGCATTTTGACAATTTTTTTTTCAGTGATACTCATGATTAAAAGTTGGAAATCCGAAATGTTTTCGATAAAAAAAAATATTGAAGAGCTGAGAAGAGTTGTCCCAAAGACTGGAGATAAATTCGCCGAAGGATCAGAGCTATGTATGAGGGAGAAAATCCTTAATTTTAATAAAATTTCTAAATTTTACCACAGCAATTAAATTTGTATCTCTATTTTCAAGCAAGTACCGACTACTTAGCTACTAGGCGGTAGAGACGCTCGACTAATAGTCAACGAACAGAGGCCTCGACCAAGGGTCTTATATATAAATCTTATACAGTACCAATTTCAATGCACCAGATGCGTATTTCGACAAATTATATCTCTTAAGTGATGTCCATTCTGAAATGTTGGAAATCCAAAATATTTAAAAATAAATATACGAAACAGACTTGTGTCTGTGTGAAATACATTAAATTGCTTTTTATGCAATCAATTCTATACACTAACCGCCATTTACATAAAAATGCAAAGATGAATGGTTTCGTTTTTGGGTTATAAGAAAAAGATTGATCATATATTAATCTTAGTTAAGATTACGAATTTACCTGACGTAAAAACCACTGCTCATGTGCATTACTATAAAAAGATGAGATTTCATCGTTCCTGCTATCCCATCGTGTTTGCATAGCTTGGTTGGAACACTGAGGTATGTTATACTTGTGAAAAAACGGTTTTGTTTTTTTTGTTTTTTTAAAAAATGATATGCATTTCATGTTTTATAAATGGATTTGCTTTTTAATGACAAATAAAATAATCAAATTGTAATTATTCTCTGATAAATAATTAAAAAGGAGTCTTAAAATTAATGGATGAAATAGATTTTTTTCTTTGTTGTCTAATTGAATAATTAGATTTAAAACTTTGAATTTTTTTTTTCATTCCTTCAAGGATTTTTTAAATTATGGGAATTTATAATGTTTGCATCCAGTCTTTATTATTTTATTTTCAGTTAACCACTGTATGCGTTCATTTGTCTAGATTCTCAATGTCGTAAATTCTAAAATAGTTAATGATCTTTGTTCATCATAAACGAGAAGGTATGGCACCTTTTAGCAAATGTGTAGCTCACTGGTCTGACGAAATGGGGATTGGCGATCAGAAAGGTACAGATCCACCCCTCGAAAAATGTTAACATTAATTTAATTTCCCACAAAAGAGTGCATGGTTCTCGAGTTATATATCAGTTTATTGAGCTATTATTTCAAAATGTTACTAGCCGTAAGTTCTTTTCACATTACTCTCAACAAGAAATATTCCAATACCCCACGACCGTTGCTTATAATTTCCGAATTTGTGAACATCATTTTCAATGACTCATATACCGTATGTTTAATTTTACAATAACTATTCATCCACAGTGATTTGCACTATTTTTATCAGTGTCTGGCATTTGTATAAAATTGAATAAGAGTTATATTATTCTTTCATATGAATAAAAGACTAAATAAAAAGCTTACTGTTCAATTCACGTTATCAAACAAGTGAAAGTTGACTTAGTTGGTAAAAAAAAATATTTTCAAAGAGAATTAACTCTTCAATTTACAAAAAGACTCAAAGCATACAATTGATAGATCATTAACTTTTCTTCAGAATATTTTTTTGTAAGTAGTGATTTTTCTTAAAGCTTGTCCTGTCGTGAATACCTTTTCAACATAAATCTTATGTCTACCAATATATAAAATAGAATGATAATAATGAAAATTGCCCATTCAATCAAGTTAATGATAATTTTCCATTAATTCTCTGATGGAGTTTTATTTCTTTATACAGATTTGCTGTCACAATGAAGTTGGTCTTCCTGTTCATCGTTCTATGCCTTGCTCTCACTCAAGCTTATTATTACAACAAGCATTACTATTATCCCAGCGTGTACAGAAAATACTACTACCCAAGTAAGTGGACTCTTTGTATCTGTGACAGGAATACTGAAATTAACTACACAGGCAATTCACATTTTTCTTTGTCATTACAAAATTCGTTATTTTGTATATAAAAAACAAAATAATAAATGCATAAAATGTGAAAGGGGGGGGGGCAAAAAGGGTTACGTTATTTACAATTGCAAATTCTTATTTCAGATGATTGTGACATTAAATGTAAAAATAATTGATGAAAAAAATACATATTAAAGAATATTTCATAAACTTTATATTTGTATTCATCTGTTTAAGGAATAAAACACATTTTTGCAAGGACTAGTATGTTTGAACCCTTGAACCCATGATTAGATAGAAACAAACAATAAAATGTTCTTTCTTTCAGAAAAATATTATAGCCATTACTACCGCCCTCGACGCCATTACTACAGTCCCTGAAACGTTCTACTTTCCCATTTTTCCGTTCGCTCACCGTTCGTTCACCGTTCGTTCAGCGTGCGTTCACCGTTCGTTCACCGTGCGTTCACCGTTCGCTCTCCGTTCACAGTTTTGCGTTCACCGTTCACCGTGCGCTCGCGTTCACCGTTCACATAGCGTTCAGCGTTCGCTCTTCGTTCCGTTCACTTTGCGTTCACCTTGCGTTCAGCGTTCACCTATCGTTCAGTTTTCATTGCCATTCGGAACTCCCAAGTGATAGGACTTATCTTTTTGTAGGTAAGGAGTTACAGATTTTTTAATTTAATAACTAACATATCGTGTTTGAAGAATCATTATTTCATGGGGGAAAATATCTAAGATATATATTTTTATTATTCTAACTTAGCTATTAGGTTATTTATTAAATTACTCTGGAAAATAAATGTTGTTCTGTACCTATGTAGAACGATGCTGAAATATTAAATTTAACTAAGGGCAATGTGCAAATACTTCAAGGATTGCAACATTTTGTTTTGTTAAAGACGACAAATCGTTAATGGAGATATAATTATCCAAGTCAAATAATTACGCAGCAAAATTACGAAAATATTTATTTCTAACGCGTTTTTTTATTCAGTTACTACAGAAAATATGATAGAACTAGTTCTGAGAGTTATACATAGTACTGCGGATATCCCGTTAATTTATTATCTTTGGAGCGAATTAAATTGATAGTGTGTTTAAAGGAAATATTTATTTAAAATGAAATGCACTACAGAATTTTCGCTACTATAATACATGTATGTAAAGTCTATAGTTATAGAGAAAAAAAATTCTTTCTTCACCGTAACTTTATATGTTTGCCATTCGATATGATTAATACCCCCCCCCCTTTTCCCCTAAATCGGTTACTTAGTCAGTACTGTATTTCCAGAAAATTTTAATTAACCTGTTAAAAAAAGTTAAGGTCTTTTTTAGAACAAAAATTTCAGTCTCAAAACAAACATGCACCTAAAAAAGTCACAAAACAATAGTAGTTCACAATGTACACGTGTCGGCGGTGGTATTTGAAATTGGCAGAGAGTATGTTTCAAATTCAAGTGTTAATGCCCAATATATTTTATTCATTTATTATTCAAATGTTGGTATCAAATCTAGAAATGATAAAAATAAATGTTATAACTTGTTGGAAATACTCGCACTTCGTCTTCGATGTGACGAAACTTTCACACCTGCACAGTGTCGAATGATTTTGATTGACAGGACAAGCACGTGGACTTCGTGTGAACTTGAAGCAGGAAAATAAAAACGAGTAATACTGTCAAACAGATAGATATGATTTGTTGATAAAAAAAAAGAAGTTACTTTCACTGTCTAATATATTTAGAAAAAAATTTCAGTGTTATTGTTTGATATAGGTACAAACATTTAGTGAAGCCTGAAAGGAAGGGGGGGGGGCTGAAACGGAATCTCTCTCTCTCTCTCTCATTTGTCTGTTTAATAAAAATTATAACAGCATATTACTTAAATATCAAGTTCTGAAAATTGAATTTATAACAAATAATATGAATATGTATCTTTGTATTATCTTGTCCGAGTATAATCACGGCCATCTACAGATACATGCAGAAGTCTGCTCAATAAATCATCATGAAAAATAGAAATGACACATAATATATTATTGTATTAAAAATTTAAAATACGAGCGTATAAATGCAAAACGTCCACTGACCATTGTAATTATTTTTTTTTCATTACTTTACATGAAATCGCCTTGACACGGAGATATATGAATGGGTGTTACAATCGCTTTAATTCATTCTATAAGTCAGAAGTTTTCTCTGATTTGTTATCAAATAAGAATAAACATTTTTATTTTCCAACTAAAAAAATATCTTTTATACTTCAGCGTTCGGCAACAATTGCAATGTTTTAATGCGTTAAAAATCGTATTATTAAAAACTTAATGTGCATGAATCGTCTTTCTTAGGACAATTTTGGAGAATTTATTTTATTTACTTATTTTTTCATTCATTTATTGGTTTACTTATTTATTTATTTTTTTTTTTTGGCACCTGACATTATAATACAATAAAATAGTTTCAATGCAAGGAAAAGATCAGAGGCATTCCGAATATATCGTTCATCTTGCGTTCACCGTTCGTTCACCGTTCACTTTGCGTTCGCGTTTGCGCTCCGTTCGCGTTCTGCGTTCGCTCACCGTTCACCGTTCACACATCGTTCACCAAGTTGCGTTCAGCGTTCACACATCGTTCACTCACCGTTCGCTCTGCGTTCGTTCAGCGTTCGTTCACCGTTCGTTCAGCGTTCGCTCACCGTTCAAGTGGGAAAGTAGAACGTTTCAGGGACTGTACTATCGGCGATATTACCCAAAGCGATACCATTATTCATCGTACTACAAGCGTCCATATTACCACACTAAATACTACACACAAAAATATTACTGAGGGGCTGCATTGCGGTAAGTTACTTCCCACACTCCAAATGGATGCAAACTTTATCTTTTTTTTTTTGTTGTTTTCATTAAAAATAAGTTTAAAACACATCAAATTTTTAATTCGTCCAAAATCTTTTTAAAAACGAAAATGTGCATGCTAAGCACATTTAACGTGGATACATTATTAATTGAAAGTTTCTTTTCTTATTGTAACTAGCGAGGGAATATCATACTTTGATTACCAAATTTTTAGTTTCCTAATTCTTCTTATTGATCCATTTCTTAACCTTCTGAAGCTAATCCTTTTTAATAGATAAAAGAATATGTTTTGATCGTGTTTTATATTTTATTTCTATTGTTTTTTCTCTCGCTCTTTTCTTCTCTGTCTTTGACAAAATGTGTATCGCTGTGTAATCTATATGTAGATATAACGAACAGGAAAATGTCTAATGAAACACTCGAACTGAGAACAGTCAAAAAACATGATATCTTGAATCATCATAGGTGAGATGAGATCATGGAGGAGAAAACGTCCCCTATTAACTATTCATTCCCTTGTGAGCCATTGGTTTGATCTGTTAATCAGAAGAAAAAAAAATGTTTAGCCATTTAAGTATGAAATAAGGACCTAACAATTTGTATTTCATATAGTTAATATAAATATATTTTATGCCATATAATAGTTGTAAAAGACTTTTTTTGTTTATCATTTCAGGTGAGAAAAAGACGATGAAGAGTTCAATATTTTGTAAAATTGCTTCAAATTAAAGATCGAAACTTTTAATGAATTGTTGTTTGATTTCCTCACCCCTCTCACAAAAATAAGAAACCTTGGGCTTGAAAAAAAAATCTTTGTACACATACAACCTCTTTCTGATTTTCTTTTCATTATTATTTTATCGAGTGTATAAAATATTTTTTTTATTTAAATTTTAAAATGGATCCTGATTTTAAACAAATTGCATTTTGCCAAATATTTTGAGGCTGTGTTTAAAGCATATACTAGTTATATGAAATTTTTATCGTAAATCGCTTATTCACCTGTTAATTTGAATTTTGATAATTCTTCTCTCAATCACATTTTACAAATAGGAGACACAATAATTTTATATTTTCCTCATCCAACGAGTTGATATGTTGATTGTATATGCACCAGGCTTGCAGTTTCAAAGGGTAGCATTGTTCCAACCATTATTGAAATAACAATCAGTCTGGAAATTATCATTTTTATTGTGGTTGAGAATGCCTTTCAAAAACAACACCACATTGCACCGCTATTGTAATAACGATCACTATTGTGATAACGATCACTATTGTAATAACGATCACTATTGAAACAATTATCTCAGGATGCAACCTCTATTGAAAAAAGTCTACTTTTGAATCAATATTTTCAGAAGAGGTTTTAAATGCATTGCAAAACCTAAATCAGGTTACCAACACTATTGAAATAACCTTCAATAATGAAATAAAGATGTCAATAGTGATTGAAATAATGATTTCAACAGTGATTGAAATACTTATTTTTATAGTTGCTGACAATGTTTTCAATATCAAAACCTCATTGCAAGACTTACTGAAATAACCCAACTTTTGAAGTTCTAAAAAAATATTAAAGGATTAATTTTCATTATGTTTTCCGACACAATAAATTAAATTGTTGAGTTTAAGATATGATAAGTAATTTAATAATTTCCACTCTTTTCTACAAATTACTTTTCTATGCAAGGAGATCTTCGATTTAATTCAATTCAAACAAAGTATGCAAAGATATTAAAAAAACAAAAATTCAAAGGAAGAAAGTATAAGCATTATTACAAATCTGGGCGTTGTTTCAATAGTGGTCACACTTATAAAACCGGTATTCAGATAATGTCCACTATTAAAATAATGATCTCAATAGTGAAAGTTATTTCAGTAGTGGTTGCAAGCTGTGTCCGGTTTTGAAATGCACTTTCAACCACTATTGAAATAATTATTTCAATAGTGAACGTTATTTCGTTAGACGATGGGCTAAATATAAGAGGACCTTGACACTTTTTCAGAATAAATAAATGTATCAGATGAATGTTGAAATCACGCATTAAGCGATTGAGGGACAATATGAAAACCATCTTTTTGTCTTCGAAAGTGCAAACCGTTCACGGTAGCTCAGTCGGTGGAGCGTTCGCTTCGTGATCGGCAGGTTCGAATCTCGGCCGCGACAGACTAAGTCGACAAAGAATGGGTAGCAACTGTTCCTTCGCCATGCGCTCGGCACTTTGAAGTGAAAGTGAAAGTTGCGGGTCCTTCGTATGAGACCTTAAAAACCGAAGCCCCGTGTCACGGCAGGCGTTGGCACGATTAAGATCCCTCACTGCTCAATGGCCCTGAGTGCCGAGTAAAGGTCAAAATTTGTAGCCCTTTACCGGTATATGGTGACGTCTCTATATGAGTGAAACATTCTCGAATGGGACGTAAAACAACATACAATCAATCAATCAATCGAAAGTGCAAAAGTGAAACAAAAATTAGATAGATTACACGATAAGTAAGTACTGGTCCCCGCTGACAAAGCAGGTAACAACACTGTCTTTGTTAAGGCTCATTATTTGAATTGGATTTTAGAGGAATTAGGATTTAATTCTACAAGTAGTAATCCAACTTACACCTATAGCTCCCTTTCTAAGGAGGAAATCTCACTAAAATATCTACACCAGTGAAAGAAAAACTTCAGGAGTATTGTACAACAGTATATTCGAGAAGTGGTGCAAATTACATACTTTAAAACTCCAGGGATCTTTTAGAAAATTTGAAATCACAAAATTTTAACAAAATCAATGACATCAAAACGATGACCTTTCAACACTTTATACAACCATTTACCACGAAAAATTTAAGTCCAGACTTTTTGACATCAGAAACAGCTGCTTTTTCAATAAATATGGAACTCATAAATATACTTACCTAGTCATTGGTCGTTTGCAAAATTATTTTGTTAAATAGTATTCTAATTGTACACACAGGTACTCTGAAGTTGATCTTATAGAGATGCCTGAGTTTCTGAATGAAAATATCTATGTAATTTTTGGAGATCAGGTCTTTCAGCAATCAATTGGAATTCCCAGGGGTACCAGTTGCACCCCCTTGTTAGCAGACCTATTTTTTTATTCATAAGAAGCAGAATTTATTCAAAATCGTATACATGACAGGAAGAAAACACTTGTTGTGGACTTCAACTCGAAATTTATTTATTTTATTTATTATATTATATATCGATGACGTAATATCAATTAACAATAGTTATTTTCATTCATATGTCGACTCGATATATCCCATTGAGCTTGAATAAAAGATACCACAGAGTCTGACACATATGGTTTATATTTGACTATTTTACTGGAAAAAAGACTTTAATGTTAATCTAACAACAAAGATCTATGACAAACGTGATGACTTCAATTTTTCAATCGTCAACTTCCCTCACTTACCGGTATGTAGCAATACACGCTTATCACCTGCATATGGTGTTTTTGTCTCCAACTTGATCCGATACGCAAGATCATGTTCTACGTACGAACAATTTCTTACAAGAACCAAGCTATTTACAAACAAGCTGATAAAACAAGGAGACCAAGTCATCATTTGGCATGCTATGGTCGATACAAAGACCTTGCAAGGAAATACAACCTATCATTAAGTCATATGCTGACTGACGTTTTTCATACTAATTGTTAGGCCATTATTTACACACTGAATTGTCGACAGATTTTTCAAATTTTCCCGAACATTACAAGAAGCAAACGGCGGGTGTGACCGGTTGGCAGGGCATGCTTACTCCTCCATGGCACCTGATCCCACTTCTTATATTTTTAGAGGTCCGTGTTGACTCTGCTCCTTATTTGTATTGTTTAAATGGACTTTGAGCTTGAATACTATTCGTTATCTTCATGTTTTATTCAATAGTAGTTGCAGCCCGTATTTGGTTTTTATACGCACTCTCAAACACTATTGAAATAATTAGTTCAATAGTGGTCATTATTTCAAAAGAGGTTGTAATTATGCACCAACCATTGAAATGATCATCACTACTGAAATAATTATTTCAATAGTGGATATTATTTCAATAGCGGTTTTATACGGAAAACCACTATTGAAATAACAACCTCTATTGTTATTAACGCTAATACTAAGTTTCCGCGAATGGTTGTTTTTAATAACTATGCGAGTAGAAACGTTGGATTTACTTTCTATATTTGTAGTGTAGGCAAGCCAATGAATAGTAACAAAAATCTATTTTTATTTTATTTACTTTTAATTATAAATAATAATATTTTTATCAAAAATTTTGTAAAGATACATATCTGTCTTCTTTCTACTTCTTTTTAAATCTAATTTCTACGATTATCTGTGTTTATAATCTTTTACCTTCCCCAATTTATGACAAAGATTAAAAAAAAGATATAACGTCACTTCCGATGTGACGACAACTCTTTAAAAATTTGGGATGTCAACACGGCATTTAATTAGAGTTATTGCCAATTCCCCGAGCGCAGCGCACAGCGAGAACAACGCCATTGCGTAAAAATCGCGAATACTTTTGTCATAGCGCTGTATTTAAACGTTCTTTCAATAGTGATTGCAATCTGCTTTAGTTTTTGAAATGCATTTAAAACCTCTATTGAAATCATTGTTTCTAAAGTAAACGTTATTTTAATAATGGTTACATTTGTTTAATTTCCACATGCACTATCAACCACTATTGAAATAAGTATTTCGGTAGTGAAAATTGTGAGGCATAAAACACAGACTTCCCAGAAGAGGTGGGATCAGGTGCCTAGGAGGAGTAAGCAAAACTAGAAGTAGTGTAAATTGCAACAGCATTTTCCTCCTTATCCTAAAAGTCGTATGCTCTGTTAATATATGAGCAAAATTATCAAATATCCAGACAAAGTAAGCGAAATGGTGTGGTTATTTTTCGAAGTATTTCTTTTTATTTTTTGCAATCTTAATCTTAATTTTAGTGCCTTAAAAGTATAGTAACTGTAAATCACGTGCCTGAAAACAATTTGCCATCGCTCCTCCACGTATAAGGTGAAACTGTGCTGTCCCCTTTCAGATGTCAATACACATGTATGACAATAATATAATATAACAGCTGTTTCTCTTTACCTAGGTGAGTTAAGGCTAGGTTTAGGAATTTCTATGCAAATAAACTAATTAAAATGCCTAAGGACTATATCTATTATACAGAGAATGTTAAAACTTATTGTCTAATATATACTTGGTACCCACGCCATGAGAAGTCAGTACACATTATGACGTCATATTATAACGTCATTGTTCTCTACTTAACATGATTATAATGGACATCCACAAAACTGCTTCGGCGCAAGAACTTACCCTATTTTATTTAACTGAAACAAGGTATATTTAAAAGCAAATTATTCTAAAGATTACTGGTATTGCTGCACAAATATCAACAGCTCAGTTGTTTAATTACTATTTGTGAAGTTTTAAGTTGAATCATGGTAAAAATATACAGTCCGGCATAAGTTTTCTCAAATTCCGATCAAATGAGAAAATGCCTATGATTTGTGCAGTAGTTTTATAAATCTATAGAATATTCTTCTTAGCATTATACACATTTTATGTAATTTAAATAGGGTAATCCCTTGTGCCGAAGCTGTTTTCTTGATGTGTTTTATTACCTCCAGTAGGTAAGAACAATGACGTAATAATATGACTTCATAATGTGTACTGGCTGTAACATATTGTGGGTAGTAAGTATGTATAAAAAACAAA